AAAATTGTTGCATATGCAAATCATCATATCTTTTAGTATTGCTTATGTACTTTGCAAATGAAATGTCTAAAGCAAATTCTATAACTCAATTTCTGGTTTTGTTGTAAACCAAACACTACTTAATAGCTCAGCATACCTGATTTGACTTGGCATTTTCAAAACTGATTTATTGTACACTCTAAAAAACCTGTTAGTTCTAATCTTGCAAATGCAATAGGTTCTTCTTGCCATGATAATTATTATGTAGCTGATAGGTATGTTATGTCTTCCCTCAGTTTATATAATTATTATTTATCATCCATTTCCAAAAGAAATCACATCTCCAAAGCAATAGGTTTTGCTATGTTCTATTGACTAAAGTGTTTGCATTATCTGAAGAGCAGCCTGGTTAAAAAGACAACCAATACAAACTCAACTCACTCTATTCCAAGCCCTGAAGTAATTCCTGGGGAGAAACAGATAAAGTCTTTTATGCTTTGCAATGGGTCTGGTCAATGTCTTAGAATTTAAACACAATTAACACCTAGAGTTTACAGTTTGCTTCTACTGCTTACAAAATAGCTGCAATCAATAGGCTACACAAGACTGACTTCTCAAATATTTAAAAAATATGCCAAATAATTAGGTAGGGCTGGTTTACAATTTAAGGTATGCTTAGGATATGATATAGCACAATATTTCTTTTTAAATAATTTCCATTCTCAAATTGTAATTAATTCTTTTAAAATTGACAATGGCACCTTGACAAGCATTGTTTATAATTATGTTTTGCTTTTTTAAATCTGAAGTCCAGTGACTTCTGTTCATTCACAATAAAATTGTATCACTCTGCCATCCTAGATGGCTCCTTAATAGCCATGTGAGAAAGTTCTTATATATGTGCCTCTTTTTTGGTATTATAAAGTAACAAAAAAGACCTTTGAGAATTCTGTATTTGTTCTCTTATTGAGGACCCAAACTGAGTTACAGTTAAAGAGGTTCTAGAAAAATATCAAAGTATTTTTTCTCTGAGTTTTCTCCTAAGTGGCAAAAAGTAATGCAATGGAGAATCCAGTTAAAGAAAGCCATCATTCTTTATACTCCATTTGAGGATAAAGAAATAATTTTAGGATAGCTAAAATTATTTTAATATTTGCTTCAAATTTTAAAGATAGAATGAATTAGATTCAACACAAAGGGCAACTACTATTACTATAATAACTACATTTGAGTCAGTAATTCATGTATTTATATTTACATGAAAATCTATCAGTTCTTTCTTATTTTACTATTGCAGGTATCTTGGATTCTTATAAAGGGCAGTATATGATAGAATTGGGGAATATATATTAGGCCTGAAAAATCACTCAAGAATTATTTTCTTCTCTCAATTGATCTATCAATCTATTAATCTATCAATCTATTCACTATCTACTGATAGCAAATATATTCATAATATTAAAATGATGAAATCCCTCCAAAAATGAAATCCAAGAAAATGTGAAAGTGGGCAACTTATAACAACTTTACTTATTAAATAAGTCTTTTTATCTTTATGCAAAAGTCCCACCACTAAGGGAATATGTTTTATACATGCTTCAGTAGCTAACAAATTTATATTTAAGAAGTATTTATCTAAATATTTTTATAACAATGAAAATATGAAAGTATCTTAACAATCTACCATAGCTACATGAATGAAAGTCATCTTTATAAATGAAAAGTACACAATAGTTATAAAAGACATTATACACTGACATGGAAAAATCTCAACCATATATTTTTGTGTGAATAAAGAAAGTTATAAGCAAAAACATGTATAGTATATGCCCTTTTGTATAAAAACAATATTACAACATATGCATTCAGAGAGAGATGTGTATACATATGCCTTTAACTTATAAGCAAGAGTTGCCTTTGGGGAGCTTGATTTGTATTGATGTTTATTTTCTTTTTTTTAATGATGTTTATTTTCTTCTTTTTAACCAAAGTAGTTAAAGCATTGACAATCTTTTTACAATGACTTTGAATCTTCTTTCCAGATGTACCTCATTACTGAGACTATTTTTTGTGATCTTCTCATCTGAGGCATTTTAAGATGATATAAATGTGAACATATTCTGAGAAATTATAGGCAAATAATAAGTAATCCTTGCATGATTACTCCTTACTCCTTAATTCAGAATAGTAAAGGAGTAGACTCAATTTTTTTAAAAAACATATGCACCAAAAGTCAAGTGTTCTTACATAAAATATAAGGTTTTCTGAGAAGGGAATAAAAAAAATTCAAAGGTTCATGATGAGCAAAATTGAAGAGAGGCTAGGTAACTAGAAAACATAATAAAGCACAAGAAATTGCAGTCTCAGAGTCTGGGGATTTTTAATTGGCATAACAGAAGACCTGAAAATTTGTTTCCATCCATGCAATGAAAAAAGAATAAAAATCTAAAAATTCAACCTAAAGTAAACTATGGACTGTTGGTGATGATGACATTTCAATGTAGGCTCATTAGTTGTAACGACTGTGCTATTTGGTGCTGGATGTTGTTAGTGGAGGAGGCTGTGCATGTTGGGAGACAGAAGATGTAAGGAAACTCTCTTTACTTTTCATTCAGTTTTTTATGTGAACCTAAAACAGATCTAAATAATAAAGTTTAAAAATAAAAAAAAATAAAGATCCTCTGCTAACTGCTGATACCAATGTAGTAGATGTCTTCTGGCCATCCTAAAAGACCCTAAACAAGATTCACTCATCATAATGGAGGGAGTGGTTCAAGGCAGGGGTAATGGAAACTGTGAATCTCTTGACACTCAAACATGAAATCCTTTGGCATCATTTCTCTTCATTTCTCTTCCATTCAGTTTGATAAAGTCAGTCACAGAGCTAGCCCAGGTTTAGAGAAAGAGGCCATGGACTTCCCACTTAATGGGAAGAATGGGAAAGAATTAATGGTCAACTTTTAATCAATCATGGGAAGAGATCTCAATAGAGTACTTAAAGCAAAAGCTTCAATTTATATTAGGTAATTGAGGTTAATTAAATTAGAAACTGTTTTATTAGATTTGATCTAGTACTATACCTCTTCATCTGAGTTGGAAAGGGTATGGACTCAAAAAAATTGTCATCATTTTAGAACAATAAAGTAGCTAAATTGCCATATTTAATATCTTAAAAGCTACATAAGTTATGGTAATGGAATAAAGAAACAAGCAAATGAAAATTATCAACTCAAAATTCATGCATCATTCAAATTTAATTTGCATGGATTGGAATCACTAGCTTTTTTAAAATTAAAAATATTGTTATATATTGAGGTGCGTGGGTTGCTCAGACAGGTAGGCATCTGACTCTTGATTTCAGCTCAGGTCATGATCTCAGCACTGTGAGATGGAGCCCTACATTTGGGCTTTGTGCTCAGGAGGGAATCTGCTTGAGATTCTCTCTTCCTTTCCCCTTCCCTTCCCCTTACCTGCAATCTCTCTCTCTCTCTCTCTCTCAAATAAATAAATAAATAAATAAATAAATAAATAAATAAATAAATAAAACGTTTAAAATATTATATAGTTACATAAAATATATTCAAGGAACATTAATTCTTATTATATTTGGTGCAGAATATATTTTCCAAACTTACAGATAAAGGTTTGTACAAGGAATGATAAAAATAGAAAACAGAATAATACTGTAGTAAAGAGAATAAAGCTTCCCCTCTCTTCACAGATTTCCATACTCTAATCCCCAAAACCCATGAGTATATTACCTCACATGGCAAAAACAGACTTTGCAAATGTGATTAAGAATTTTGAAATGAGGGGATCCCTGAGTGGCTCAGCGGTTCAGCGCCTGCCTTTGGCCCAGGGTGCGATCCTGGAGTCCCGGGATCAAGTCCCACATCGGGCTCCTGCCATGGAGCCTGCTTCTCCCTCCTCCTGTGTCTCTGCCTCTCTCTCTCTCTCTCATAAATAAATAAATAAATAAATAAATAAATAAATAAATAAATATTAATAAATAAAGAATTTTTTTTAAATAAAGAATTTTGAAATGATAAGATTAACCTGGATTATCTACATGGATGCAATGTAAACTACTCCTGTATGAGTCTTTATAAGCATGTGGGTAAAAAGGTAGGAGTCCAAGAGTTGGAGGACTGTGATAATGGAACGGGAGTTTGGATTGTTAGGAACAAAAGAATGCAGGGTAGCCTCTAGAAGTTGGTGAAGGCTGCAACAGATTCTTTCCTAGAGACTACAGAAGAACACAGTCTTTAATGGTACCTCCAGAAGACCTATTTCAGATTTCTGGCCTCCAGAACTGTAACACTGTAATAAGCCACTAGATTTGCACTACTTTGTTACAGCAGAAATTAAAAGCTTACAAGGCTATCAAAAATTTAAAAATGGAAGTTATAATTATTTCCCTTAAATGATAGCTTACAACGAATAAATCATTTAGAAAAATTTTAAAACTAATTTGTATGGTACGATACTTAACTACATTGTTGTTATCCAGTGAAGTCATCTAGGATTTAGGAACTGTGATTTTTAAGTAATAAAGGTGGTTGAAGGCATGTAAAATATGCTTTGGAAAATATAGGTCAAAAAAAATAATTCATTTTGGGAGCATATTAATAAACCAACTTTCACACTTTGGAAACATACAGATACTCAATGGCAAATTAAATGTAACTATATACAAATATACCTGTGTACAATCAACCTATGTATAAATAAATATATTTTAAATAAGTATAACCTGAATAAATAAAATAAAATGTAATTCCAACCAATGCATTAAAACATGGAAGAACTCTCTAATTTGTGAGTTCAGGGTTCTCTCCCATCTGATAGTTTGGCAACCTCTAATTTGTGTGTGTGTGGGGTGTGTGTATGTGTGTGCAAGTGTGCTCCTTCTGTTCTTCTAAACTGGTATGCACAAGAGAACTTAGGGAAGGAATGAGGAGGAAAACAAGCATTTCTTTGTGGATCTATAGAATTAATTTTCCATTAAAAGAAAAATGTGAGTGCTCACTTCCACAGCACATATAGTAAAATTAGAACTATACAGAGATTAGCATGACCCCTCCGCAAGGATGACATGCAGATTTGTGAGGTGTTCCATGGTTTAAAAAAAAAAGAGAGAGAAAAAGAAAAATGCTAATTGAACGTGTCATAATTTTATCATCTTCATATATGAGAAATCTAAAAACATTTCATTTCATTACAATAAAATGGAGAAAGAACAAATATGCATAGCCAAGAAATGTAAGACCTAATCAGTTTCCATCATAAACTAACTGGCCATCACTGGGCCTATTTCTACACGTGATAAAACAGAATGTCTCATATGCCCAGTGTCATCAGCCTGCCACTGTTCTGTTTCCCATCTTAATTAGAACGGGAGCTCCAATATATTATGTATTTTCAATTTATGCTAATGAACAAGGTCACTTTCCTCCTGAAAGTCTTTTTATTCTCTACAGTTGAGAGAATTCAAATCAAGCTTGTTAACTCATCTTTGTAAGTTCCTTCCTTCCTTTATTTCCAGTTCTCCAAATATTTTTGTTAAGAGCAAAAGGCACAGCCAGGATCCATGATCTTAGCTTCTCCTAGCCTGGCCCACCTCATCCATTTCAGCCCAAGCCTCTTTGATAAGATGTTCAGAGAATACTGGTATAAAATGTGGATGCTTCCCAGACCTTAATTGCTTAGGAGGCATTTCTGAGAATGTAGAATAAACCTTTTTGCAATGTGGACTCCATTTGTACACGTGCCACTTACCTGCCATGACTTAGGACAATATACGGACCCTGTAAGTCTTGCTTTACTGATCTGTAAAAGTAGGAGAGTGTTGGTGCCATTGACCCCACAGGGACATTGTGTAAATATAGGGACACTGCATTTGTACAGTGCTTGACACAGTTTCAGACATGAAGATACTTAAATATCAGTTATTCCTATAGTTATTTTAACAAGAAACTATTCCTATAGTTATTGTAAAAAAGGAGCTATAATCAGCAAGGAGATGTAAGAGGGTCTTTGTTCTTCTAGAATAGAAAAAGAGATATATTAGCGGTCAAGGTAGAAATCTAGGAAAATATAGTTTACTTACGCCAAGTTATTTTAGCATAGGACCTAAAACGTTTATCTTTGGCTTCAGATGTATCTGCTTAACCACAAGAATCAGAAGTGAGAAGGATAAATTCATTTCAGCATTCCCTATTTGGCTATAACTGTGTGGTACTTGAGTTCTCTCTGAACCAGTTGTAACACCTACTGTATATCTCATTAGTTAACGAGTTGAATAAGATCTTTGACACAGATCAAAGATCATTCATTTATAACATAAAATAAAGTAAAATAAACTGGAAGGAAAATGGAGATGCCTGCTCTACCACAGCCCCAGGGTAGGACTTCAGCTTGCATTAGGAAAGTCTGAGAGTTACAGCGATTTGTAGAAGTAAAGATTGAGTGAGTGATACAGGGCAAAGGGCATGATGCTCTTATGGGCTGAGCCACATAAGAAGAAAGAGAAAATGCCCCCTGATTCTGCAAAGGGAGTGTAACCTGGGTGGGTTGTTACTTGTTCTTCATTTGCTGCCTCAGTGTCAGCACACCTTTGATGAAGCACAACCTGGTGGTCTGGCTTTGCTCCCTTACTTCCCCCTAAATCCTCAGTGAGACCTGAGGCCTTCTAGATACCCAATCGTGAGTAAATGTTCTTGCACATAATTATAGTATTCATGAGTATATGTGAGGAGTAAGTTTAAAGTAAATACACATTCACTTTCTAGCAAAACCCAATGCCTCCTTCCATCTTCTACATGGGAGTGAAGACTTTGTCAGAAATGTGGATTGTGACCTGGAGAGATCCTAATTATCTCCTAAAACTGTCTGCTGCAGTGTCCTCTCTTGAGCCACACCAGTGTGCTTGCCATGATCTACTTGGATATGCTCCTGCCTCAGAGCCTTTGAAATTCCTTTGGCTTGAGCTGCTGCTCTCCTAGATAGTGTATGGCTAACTCTTTCAAATACCACTTGCTCAGTAAGGCCTCTCCTGATGACCTTACATAAAATTGGAACCTCTAGCTTCCTTGACCTTCCATATTTTTTAGTCTATAATACAGGCCACTTATATATAAATGTATATATAACATATATATACATGATATATATTATATATATGTATACTTAGGTAGGTGTTTTTCTCTCCCCAAAGGCAGAAACATGTATTTTGTGCCGACAACACCAAGAACAGAGTCTGGCATATTGTAGGTATGCATTACATATTCATGAAATGAATATTTATTAATAAATTAGCATTCAGGATGTTTTTTGGTCAACCAAAAAAATCTAAATAGCATTCATTTCAAAATTGCTTGGTGCAGTGGAAAAGCAAGAAGCCAATTTGTTGTTTTCCATATTAAATTAGTTAAAATATTTAAATTTTTGAGAACTCATGGAATTTTCTTTGGCTTTTTGGAAAATTCACTAATCCACACTATTTTGTGACCAATCAAACCAAAACTTGGTTCACTCAATTCTGTCATATATATTAATCGAGATAAAGTTTACATTTTTAATTTTGTTATAAATGTTTAAATTATCACTTATGAACCTCACAATTTTAAGACTATAAACTCTTTAATAATCAATTACCACATCTAATTAGTTCACAATCATTGAAATATACATTTGGGACTAGAGCTCATTTCAAATCTCAAAATACAAAGTCACTTAATTCAGAACTCCATCTGTGCCTCAGTCTCTGGAGTCTGACAAATAGTCTCCAAATTGTCTTCTGAGTTTTCATCAAAACAAGACACCAGTTTGGAATCTATTTTAACATTGCTTGCACTATATGGGGACTCACATTGCATCTGCTTTGATTTTTCTCTAATGAAAGTTCCTAGTTGTTCTGTGTCAGAAAGGATGTAAGTATTCCCTAGAAATAGCGCTGTTATTTAGAATGCAACAATAGAGAAAATCGAAGCCCCAGATCTTATATTTCCTATTCATAAAATTGTAATTGGCCTTTTTATGTCTGTGCTACCCTTGAGACACAGGGAATTAATTTTATGTCCATGAACATATATAGGATACCCATAAAACTCAGAATAGTTCAAATTCTCATCCCCAAAAAAGAATTAGAAATAAAATCAAAGCATATTTTTCTTTAATCTTGGGGATTCTGTATAGTTTAATGTTACCTCTTGAGATGATATTAAATTGCAGTTATTGTAAATAATGGGCAAAGGAAGAACTACGGTATAATGTTTGCAATAGCATTGTAAATAGAGAACAAATCCCCACCAAATTTACATTCACTTGCAGGATGAAACAGACTCCTTGAAGATATCAAATGTGTATACTCTCCTTTGTCATAGTTGCTATGGGTACAAGCCTTGTTAGCTCCTTGGGTTCAAAGTCTGGCTTCACTACTCTATATGACCTAGGTATGGCTTAGACTTGCTAACATATGGCAAATCTCATTTTACTCCTATCAATAGGGATAATAGTGCCTACGTCAACACTTGGGGAGGAATGAGGCCTTTGTAAATTAATATACTTAAAATACCAGCATGATTTCTGATTCACAATAAATGCTCAATCAATTGGTGCCAACACTAGGGCCAAAATACACATAATAATTATTAGCTCACAAAGAGGTGATAGTTCCAAAGGCAGAAAGCTGCCTTGTCATTTGTCAGAACTAAGAAAAGCAAGTACACCCTCTGCCAAAAGGACAAAAGTAAGTCTTGGCACTCGTGTGTGTGTGGGGGGGGGGGGCGTATTTGCTCTTAATGCACAAAATCAGGATTTATTCAGCACTTGAATGAGAATACATACACACACAAGCAGACACCCAAAATAACTTATGGTTTTTAAGATATGTATTCTGTTCTTTTCATTCCTCCATCCATAAATGAAATCTACAATGTATAAGAATTCTCTAAAGGAATGCAAAAATATTAAAGTAATACACATTTTCTTTATGGATACAGATTCACATATAGCAGTAAAGTCTGTACATATTCCAGATATGTAGCTATAAAGGTCTTTTTTTACAAATAAGATGACAACAATCTGAATAACATATCAAAAAACAAAGAAGAAGAAAGAAGGAACAATAAAGGAACCAAGCAAGAAAGAAGATAAAGAAGAAATGGTGGAGAGGGAAAGAGGGAGGGAGGGAGAATAGGAACCCCTAACCCTAACCCTAACCCTAACCCTAACCCTAACCCTAAGGTGCATCAGCTCTCTTACACCAGCCCTATCAGGAATCTTCTCTTTCCACACCTTCTTCTCACATGTATGGTCTGGAGGAGAGTGGTCTTGAAGCAGTGGAACAGACTTTTCGTCACTCTTCCTGGTAATTTTTTTGTAAGAGGGAGTCTATCTTCTGTCTTACCTTCACTTTGATATCCTGATGCCAGTCAAGGCTGAAACTAAAAGATTCCATCCTAACAATCTCTTTCACATCATTAGCCTAAGAGGCTGCAGTCACTAATGTAAAAGTGGCTTTACATCTTTCCGGGTCTCCATCATCTCTGTGGAACTAAAGAACCATGATGCCACAGAACCATGCTGTTCAGAGTGCGGACTCCAGGCAAGCTGGCTGGGCATCACCAGGGACCTGCTTAGAAATGTAGAATCTCATTCTCACCTGCAACAAATGCTGAAACAGAATCTGCACTCTACCAAGTTTCCTAGGAGATTCATACGCATATTAAACTTTGAGAAGCACGGCAATAAAGGGTTATTAATAATGATGGTCTTAATTCTCAAACTGTGCTCCTTAAAAAATTAGTATCTTCCAAATGTGTTCTACAAAAATTAGTTCTATAATCAAATGTATTTTAAAAATATGGATAAATAAAGTCAAGCAAATTTCCTTTCAACAGACTTCATGGAGCCACTGTTATCCTCCAACATGTGCAGTAAAAACGGCATGCACGGTATTTCTGCAAACTATTCAACCATGAAGCTGTGTTTTCTTTGAATGATCCTTTAAATATTTCTGAAAGCACTGGGTTTTGGATAGCACAGTTTGGAAATAGATGTCATAATTTGCACAGGAATGGCTGAATCATATTTCACAAAATCCACTAGAACATTAAGGAAAAT